CCCCCCGCTCCCCACCGACCCCAGCAGCATCCCCACCAGGCCTCAGCTTCTGGCAACAAACATTCTACTCTGTTTCTATGAATTCAACTTTCTTTCTCTGTTTCGTCTTTTAGATTACACATATAAGTGATACCACACAGTATCTGTATTTCTCTGTTTGGCTTATTTCACTTAACATAATGTCCTCTAAATTCATCCATGTTGTCACAAATGGCAGGGCAAACTGACCATTGCAAAAAAGTCTTATTATATAAACAGGGTTCCTCTCACTGTCACTGTATGAATGGGGTGAGAGGTAGAATTACCAGACAATACAGAATTATAATCAACCAAGGAGGTAACTCATTAAAAATTGAGATTTTAAATTTCTTCTAGTTTTCCTCTTGCCTATTCAAAAAAATTTTTAAGCTTAATTAAAAGTCTTAAGTTCACTAGTTGAGATGATTATAAATCTAGCTTCCCCAAACCCTCCACGACAAATAATGTATATGAATGAGAACTATTAAAGCTGCTATGTCAGAAAATGTAAAGGTTCTAAGTTTTACTTGAAAGCTTTAAAATGTATTCAGTATTGGGTTTGTTTTTTTTTTGTTTGGGTATTTTCTTAACATCGTATTTTTTCTCTTTACGATGTTAGAAGTTATATTCTCTTTTTATGCTTTTAGTGATTCCCCTAGATATTAAAATGCACTCCTTAATTTATCAAAGTCTAATGTTAACTGATAGCTTTGCCCCCCACCCCTTGTCATTGCAAGAAATTTAGATCATGTCAGTTCCATTTACCCCCACTTAATCATAAGCTATTATTGTTAAGTATTTACGACAATGTCACAGATATTATTATTACTGTTTAATGTAGTCAGTATTCATTTAAGTTAACATAGACATGTTTCATTTTCTTTTCTCTTCATTCCTTCTTGCATCTCTGGCCTTCCAACTGCGATAATTTTCCTTCTGCCTGCTCTTCATAATTAGTATTTCCTTAGTGCAATTCTGCTGGGGGGAAACACTTTGTTTTTGCTGGTATAAAAATATCTTCATTTCACCTTCATACTCAAAAGATATTTTTATTGAGTATAAAATTTGAGATTGCCAGTAAATTTTATTTAGCACATAGATTATATCATTCCATGTCTCTGGCCTTCATTGTTGCTGTTGACAAATCAGCTGTCAGCCTAACAATCATGCCTTTGAAAATTATGTCTTTTTTTCTAGTTACTTTATGCTTTTACCTTGAAAAGTTTACATGCAATTTCTGACCATGGCTTCCTTACAATGATTGCTTCAAATTTTTTTATGTATGTACTGCTTTTTTAGTATGTACTGCTTATGAAAGACTTTGTTACAGAAGTAAATTTAAAAAAAAGTTTTTGCATAGACATTTGAAATTTTACATCAATTTGATGTTATATTTAAAGAACCTAAAATCATAGGTAAATGTAATGGTGCATTTCTTGAGATAATGAGATGGATTTCCAAACCAATCCAACTTTTCATATCAGCTATTAGAAATTACATTGAAATTCTAATTCACAGAATACTTATAATTTGTTATTATGCTTACTATTCCGATATGACTAAGAGGGCACCTCAGCAACAAATAAGAGGTGTACAATAAATGTAGACAGAGACTTAGGGCATTGCCCAGACATGTGGAGCCCCAGAAGGCCTCTGCTCATCTGGAACAAAACTCTGGCAGCTCTGTAGTTCGTTTGTCCATGATGGGCAGTGGCACACTCCACAATGGCTGCTGAAGATGATAAAGCATCTCCTCAGCCGTGTTCTGTGTGTCACAGGAAGCAGTGACTGACAGACGCTCCTCAGCATACTCACTGTCTGCTCTGAAGGGACCAAAGTCTGTACCCTTAGATCCACCTTCTAGAGCATTCCTTTTGATCTCCTCCTGGAGTCTAAGCAAGTGTCCAGGCCCTAACCTACAACTCTGAAGCTTTATGAGATCAATATTTATATTCCAGTTGCCAGGGACACAATGGTTGGGAATTTCTGCTCTGCTCCCTTTTACCTAATTTTGTCTTCACTATTAAAAATGAGTTCTAGATTTTCCATGAAGCTAGTGAATCATATACTTCAGGACCCTCACTTTCGTGGGAACTTTCCAAGGCCCTGAGATGGCTCTATCAATTTGTTCATAAGGCAATATGTTCTTGTAAAGTTTACAAATATAGAATACTTTAACCTCAACGAGTTAACATCATTGCTGTTTCACTCTCTGACTTTCCCTCCATCATGGTTTTCTTCGTGTCAAGAAGCATTGGATTGGCCATGGACATTTTTGGGGGCTGACTGGGTTAAGGGGCCAGTGAGTTAAGGCTAGATACATTTGTTTGAATTTAATGAGCTATATTTATGTACTTCATAGTTTCCACATCAGAAAAGGACAATACTGTCTACCTTTCAAGGTTGTTGTAAACATGAAATGAGATTACAGTATTGCACCCAGCAAATCAATTATTTTAACCTAAAGAAGTGTCCTCACGTTCTGAAATTCTAGCCTTTTTTTTCTATGTTACTCAGCCTTTCCAGATATGTTGGCTCCCAGTAAGGCAGTAAACCCATTGAGGAACTAATATAGTTTAATTGGACTGGCCAGGGCACAGTACAGATAAATGTCGTATGAGCACTGGGGATGGCTGCGTCGTATTCTTTCAGAACTGACTGGAGACTCACTGCCTCTGAGAAGCCCTCCCTGGCGAATTTTGCCCTAACTCTGACCACTCTTTCACTCTGTAGCCACAGAAATCTTTATTTGTTGTTTGTTTGTTTGTTTGTTTGTTTGTTTTAGTTTCTAATCCATTTGAAAAGAAGTGGCATGCCTCCTGCTCAACATGTGATGTCTAAAGGAAGGAGAAAAAATGTTTATACCACTAGGTACCTCCAAATTCTCATACACAATTACAGTAGCTAATAGCAATGCTATGTGCCAGGCTCAAGTGTTAACACATGTTATCCTTAAAACAATGAGGATGGTACTACTTATTTGCATTCCCATTCTGCAGAACAGGAAACTGAGACACAGGAAATTGAGTAAATTGCCCAGATCATGCAGCTAAGAAGTGACAGTGTCTTTAAGGAGACTGGTGTAGTGGAGAGATGTGGGCTCTGGAATCAGACGAATGCAGACTGGATTGATTACATTATCCCAAATCTGTCCCTCTTGTGTTCCTCAACACAGAGCCTGACACCCCCAACCACAAAGTTGCCCAGGCTTACAACCAGAACAACACACTTTGACCCTTTCCCCTGACATTTTCTAAATGTGTAGTATGTGGGAGGTTTACATTAAAGCCTTTATGGGGAGTCTCTCTCTAAGTTATTATGATGGACTTATGAGACGGGTACTGTATTATCCCCAGTTAGATCCATTTTTTATTCTATTTTGCAGATAAGAAAACTGACACTTAGAAAGGTTACAGTGCCATGTGCAGTGTCACTGTCAGTCCTGCCCGATGTTATAAGCAGCTCAGTGTCCAAGAGCTCGCTGTTAGGAAGCAGCAGATCGCATATTCTCAGTGGTCCTAGCATCTACCCTCATGACCATTACTGCACAACCAGGCCTTGAAAAATCTGTTGATTCCACCCCCACCCTGCAAAATAGTTCAGCCTTGACCCTGGCTCAGGCCACCATTTCTCTATTGCAGCAGTTTCTCAACCAGTATGGCCCTCTCCAACCAGCATGGTTCTCTGTTCCATGGCCAGGAGGATAATTTGCCTAAAGTGCCAGTGTGAGCACATCACTGTGGTGCTAAATCTTAGCAGGCTTGACAATGCCTGGCCTATGCTGGCCTCCACTAACTGTCCCAAATCTTTCCGGGTGCTGCCATTGCTGAGCCCTTATCCTGAAATCTTCTCAACCTATCACAGGCTCGGCCTAGATCCAGGTGTTTCACTGGCTTAGCTCACTCTTTTCAGCACCCCCATGTCTTCCGCATTTACCTGGCTAACTGTTATTTTTGATGCCTCAGCCCAGAGGTCATTTTTTCCAGCAGCCTTCCTTTGCCCTCTAAGCATGCGGTCCCATATATAACCACACCACATTGTGCCTTATCTGGGTGCTTTTAAACCCTTCCAGTAGACTAAGAGGAAGGGCCTGCATGGGTCACCA